CACGACGGTGAAAAATATACATTGGATTGTGCCCTGAATCCTCTTGACAAAACCAGCAAGCGCTAAAGAAACCTGCCTACACAAACCGGTTATTGTATTGCTGTTATCCTTGCTGCAGCTAAACCGAGAAAATGCAGGTTGGCCTTCAAAGTGTTTCTGCTCCTAGCTTCAGTGCCAGAGCTTCAATTAACTGGTACAAGAGGTGGATAAAGCTAGAAACCAGCATTCAGAAGCCCTCTGTTATAACCTGCAAGAAACAAGTGCTATTTGCTTGTAGGATGGGGAATGGGGCAGTAGAATAAAGGAGTGTTTTTCCTGGGAGTAATCCCTGCCAATTCTGCTTGACCTGCATTTAAAGCATTTGTCCACCCCACTCTGCCAAACGGACGAGTTTAGGCGAAGCAGTGTTAGAGGAGAGGGAATGGGCAAAGGAATGCCTTCTGATATTACAGGTTTCTTGAAAATTAGCTCTGCTTGAAAGCAAGATTATAGATCAATACAGTGCTCTTCCGTTATTCAAAATATTGCAAATTCTCGCTCTGAAACTATGGTTAACGATCCATCCGATTAAAGTTTGCATGCTTCTTTAAAAGGGTGGCTTTTCAAATATTTTAAACTGATATATGCCCAGGTGCAATAAACACAGGGTGTTCAGCAGGAAAGGTTGATGCTACAGGTCTGCTTGGGATTCCGCACTCCAGTTTTTCAGCCCTGTGTGGAAGTTGTTTGACTCCATCTGGGCAAAGTGGAGCGAAGAGCCAACATCTAATGCTGCATAAACTTTGCAGCGGGACCTGCAAAACCATTCCTGGGTTGCCTTAGCATTGCATTCAAATTTAAACCCTTAGCTTGCTCTCTCTTGCAACAAGATACCTGGTTAACTTTGGACTGTTTCTCCGGTTTGATGAGAAGAACCAAGCCAGAGATGCGGATCTGGATGCAACAATAAGCAACAATAAGTGAGGGTGCAGTCCGGTCACAGAAGGAATGAATGTGCAGGCAGCACCCGCCACTTGCTAGAATTTTGTTCTATTTCACACATCATGCAAACACAAAAAGAACAATTCTAGGAGATGTTTCACAATTTCCAAAACTTCCATTCACATTTGAATGGGCGTGCTTTGGAAAATGAGCATCAGCACAAAGGTGCAACCATGGCCCCGAGCTCCATTTCCATGTTTCTGTGCACAGGGGCAAATGTACATTTTTGATCGAGGGAAATGCACACTGTAAAAATGCACATTGTTCCCAATTGGAGTTTTTTTCCCAAACAGAGAAGACATGCTTGCATTCTGGAACAGGAACAAAGCAAACAACTTTTAGGAGGAATTCAGAGAATGTCAGCAAGTTGGAAAGGTGCATATTTCCCTATCCCACAAAGTTTATACCATGCATGCTGACTCATTCCCAATAACGCATAGTTTGGAACCAGTGTGTGGGGTGACATGAAAACCTGTCCTTTCTTTAGGCATCCCATCAAAACCAGTTATTCTACAAAGAGGCCCACAACAGTCACAGGCCCCACTGGGATTTCCCACACATTGGGAAATTCCCCTGGGAAGAGAGCCTCGCATGGAAATCTTAGTCTGTGGGTCAAACTGGAGTGGACTGTTTTAATTTTCCAACAGTGACTGCTTATTAGCACAATGGAAGATAAATAACTCAGCAATTCATCACTACTGTGAAGAACAGAAAGTCAGAAGTCAGGGTATATTCTCGGAAGACTAAATCAGGGAGAAACGTAGGTTACGATGCAACGAACAGCAGAATGCCTGCTCCGCGTGTGGATGGGCCCAGATTTGATGCAGGATTAATCCAGAAAAGGCTGGGAAAGAATCCTGCCTGGAACTCTGGAGAGGTTTGTCCAGTCCTGGACAGCATACCAAAGAACACTTTGCTAAAAGTGAAAAGCATCCACTCTCTCGCTCGTGGCCACAGCAAAAGGGAAGGATTCGGAGTGTGCACTCAGTGCTTCCCACAGCCGTTGCCCCTGGCAGCCATCCCACAGGCTGCAACAGAGAGGCTGAGTGGTTAAGTGGCCTGTTCTCCATCTTATCCCCACAACAACAACCCTGTGAGGTAGGTAGGTAGGGCTGAGAGGTTGTGATTGGCCCAAAGTCACCCAGCTGGCTCCATGGCTGAGTGGGGAGTAGCACCCGGATCGGCTGAGTCCCAGTCCCATGCTCTTCACCACTGCTTCCTACACCTTCCCCACTTTCTGTGGGGCAAGGGAACTGTGACTTGTGTGCTGATAGATGTGGGTCACTCTTCTTCTGAGATTCAGAGGTCCGTGATGGAGGAGGTGCCAGTCCTTCCCAGCCAGTCAACCATGCAGCTGAGCCGATGGGTTGATGATATCCCATTATATAAAGCTTTGAGGAACCTTTGTGTGCAATTATTGCTGAATTCAGCTTGGAGAGCGGCAACAGAGGAAAAGGCAGAACAAAGGGGGAAAGAGCAGCGAACCACCCCGAGGGTGCATGATAGCATCTGCCCGGACACAGAGGAAGCAGCTTGTGGACACTAACATCTCATGTTACCTGATATATTTTATTTTGCGGTTCCTGCCAGGAAAGCTGCAGAACAACTCAGGCAAGGTTCTGTATCGCTCTGAGAACCTCCTTCAACGCAATCTCCAAAAGCCGGAGGCTGGTAATGCAGGGAGGAGACACCTGCCAGCAAAATTCTCCGTATTTCACCTCCAGGATTGCTCCATCTCACAGCCATGTCTTCTTTCCAAACAAAGTCGTGTATTTTCCAAATGCCACACCCACTGTGAGCCTCTTTGCAAAATGCACACCGCTTCTCCCACTCAGCCAAGTGAGTCTGAGCACAATCCTCAGAATTGTGCAGCTTCTTCCAAAGGACGCATGCATCTGGGGGTGGGGAGAAGGCTCCACAAGCCCCACCACACACTCGCAAATGCATGGGCTTCAACCACAGCTTGAGCTCATGTCTGTGGTCAATCAAGATGCCAATGGGATAAAAGAAATCAAAAGAAACAGATGCATTTCTTGTACATCCCAATGAATCCCATTGCCCAGAACGGTTACATTCCACAAACCTAAAGGAAACTGCAGATAAAACCAGAGTGGACCCTTTAGAATTGAGACACTTGAGTACATTTGAACCGCCGGTTTAACTATGCGATAGCACTAAGAGAAATGCTGCATCAGGAAACAGAACAAGAGAACTGCTGAGGAGAGGGAAGTGTACAGCCCAAACAAATTCCATCTTTTGCAGACAAAAGTCTCCACAGGGTCAAGGAGCAAGTTCTTTGGCTTAGGAATTTTGGCCACTTCTGTTCTGCACTATTACACAGCAGTATCAATCGTGGCATTTGCGGCACGGCTCTATTGCTCAATTTAACTAATGGAGCCAAAGAGATGGATTTCCCCTAGAAGTACTTGCAAGATGCTCCAACCGGTGCGTATGCGTTTTCAGCAGATGGCCAAAGCAGCCATGCAGCAGGGAAATCTCCAGCTCCATCTTGAAAGGATTTACTTCAGAAAAACATTTGGATTAATTTCATAGCCAGGCAAAGAATCCAGAGGGTTATAAACAAGATACAAATACCAAACTCAAACGACAAACTGAAGAAAAACAACCACCAGAAAGTTGGGAGGGAGGAGACATGATGGGCAACAACTGTTAACTCTCTGGGGGCCGCCGTGCCCTGGAGCAGCAGAACCACCTCGGACCGCCAGCAAAACCAATTAATGCGTCCCCCTGGGGTCCTCGCGGCACGAGAGGTGTGCCCCATTTGGAGCAGCCGCTCCAGTGCTTCCCATCGGGGCCTCCTTCTGCAGCACAAACGGCGCCATGTGAAAGTCCCAGCAGCTGAACAAAAATCGAGTGTTCTCCAAGAAAAGCCAAGAGCAAGCGTCGTGAACGGCTTTATTTACACAAAGTTAGCACGGTCTGGGGTCAACCTGAGCCAGGTCTCGCTGTCCACAAAGCCCTGCTTGGCCCACTCCGTCCATCCCGTGCCAGCAGGAACCCAAGTGGATCCTGGGGGTGTGAAGCAGCAGAAAAAGCACGCAAGGGCATTGCAGTGCAAGCAAGACTGCCTGGGAACCCCTCTCGTGTGAGCAGAGGGAGCAGCGCATTCTGAGTGGGTCCGTCTGACCGGCTCAGAGCAGAGAGCTGTTACCAGGTCTTTCCGAGGTCAAGATCCCTGTAAGCAGAGACGGAACCCTGGACCAAATGCACAGAGCAGATGGGGGAAGACGAATTTTCCCAGCCAAGTGTGTTTTTCCCCTTCCCCCTGAAATAATTTCAGGTGGCTTGCTCTGGACTGAACAATTAAACTTTACTAAGATGAAAGCTGCCTCGACCGACACTGGTCAACAAGAAGAACTGGATTTTGGGGGTGTCTTGTGGCCGCAGGTGTGCAGACGGTCAAGACAAGCATCAGTGCTTCAGTGTTTCTCACCACGCCACTGCACATTCGAGCTAAAAGCACCTTTGCCCAGATGCTGGCATCCAAAGACACATGGCAATCCCCTCTGGACAAAAACCAGCAACCATCTTGATGCTGCCAGTCTGCCAGGGACAGACTGTCCGACCACCTTCTGAACGGCCACTTCGATAGGCCACGTTCCTTCCTGGATTCACACGTGGCCAGCTGCAGGTCACACGCCACAGCCAGCCTCCCTGAACCTCAGCACAATCTCCCCCAAAATTCAGTGACACAGCACCAGGAGTGCATCTGGCAGAGGTGGGCATGGAAAGTGACCCCAACCCCCCCCCCCCCGAGGTTACCCACCTTTCCTAGCTCAAAGACGGGAAGGTGCACAATTCCTCCACATTTGGGTAGTCCATTCTCCAGTTGCTAACAATCAAACAGAATGCTCAGTTCTTACCGGGGGGGGGGGTGCCCCTCCCTGCATGTCTTCCCCACAAGATGCTTCTGTACTTTGCAGACTGAGGGTTCCCCCAACCCTCCTCCACATGCACAGCTGCATTTCAATGATATCCATACAGAAGATGCTACTTGCCTGTTTCTTCGAAGAAGTACCCATTTCTGGACATTGCTGCCGGTGGGCTTTCTGGGGGGAGAAAATGAGAGAAACGTCAGAAGGTGCTCTTCTATTTTTATTCTCTTAAGGAAGCAAAAATAGTATCTCTCCAGCACACCCACATTGCCTTCCAGAATATTGCAAGACGTTGCACGCCAAGGTATAAAGTTAAGTGCATTTGAAACTGCCAGTTTCCCCCAGACTCTGGGCCAGGTCACCCGATTAAAGTTTTCTGTGGGGCAGAGAGCCCCCGTAGGAGGTCTCTTGCCCAGTATCCAAGGGTCTTCCTCTTCTTTTGAGGAGAGAGAGACTGCAGGTCAACCGTGCCTGCCCTCTGTTTATTAATTTTATTTAAAACTTTTGTATACCGTCCCATCACACACGTCTGGGGACGGTTCTCCACAACAACAATAAAATAGAATAAAGGTAAAAGTCAGAGTAGCACAGCATTCAGCATTATGTGTAGAACCACAGATTAAAACAAATCAGCAACGAAAATAGTGAGAGAATAAAAAAGGGTTTTGCCTGCCCCAAAAGGAAAGAAACGTTGGCACCAGGCGAACTCTCTGGGGAGCGAATTGCACAATAGGGGTGCCACCGCAGAAAAGGCCCTCCTCCGGGTAGTCACCCTCCTAATCTTTTTCAGGGATGGCTCCCGGAGAAGGGCCTCTGCCCCAGATCTCAAGGGGCGGGAGGGCACATGTTCCGCTCCAGAGGCACTGCGAGGTTTAGTTTGGGGGGCACGGGTCTGGCCACTGCAAACAGCCCCCTGAAAGGAAGTACTGTCGGGAGGCAACTGTTGTTATTATTATTATTACATTTTTATACTGCCCATAGCCAAAGCTCTCTAGGCAGCTGACAGCAATAATCATAGAATCATACACTCAAGTCACCCATCCCGCTTCTGCCCAGGCCTGACCCTGCTTAGCTTCCAAGATGAGGCAGGATCAGGCACTTCAGGCTACATGGAAGCTACCCCTTCTCCCTTCATCCTCGTGCCATGCTGCCCACGCAAAATGTCACAGAAGGGCTGGTCACAGCTGCGCCCTCTTATATTTTCCTAGATCCCCAGGGCATCTTTTTACATTTTACATTTCCCCTTACTAGCTTCAATGAGCTGAACCTGTTGGATCTCACTGGTGTAACTGCCCGGCCACTAAGGGATCCAACACAGCAAGGCAGTCCTCTTGCCACTTCAGCGCCCCAGGGGCTGCGCATGCCCCTTACAGGCGGGCTCCATGCAGAGAGTTCGTTCCCAGGAGGCGAGCCCCCCTCCGTTCCCAGGGCCCGAGTCCTCACTGGTCTCAGCCACACAGAGTGGCCAATCGGGGAGGCACTTCCTCCAGGAAAACACACACACACAGAAGCAGAGCGAGTCAGAAGGGGCCTCCCGGGCCATCTAGTCTGACCCCCGGCTCCAGTCGGCTCCGCTCACGACATGCCCGCCATGTGCACATCCAGCCTGTCCTTGAACACCCGCACCGATGGGGCCTCAACCACCTCCTGTGGGAGCCCATTCTATACCCCGGGGGTCCTAACTGTCAGGAAGCGCTTCCTGGCATCCAAATCAAGCCGTGGAAAAGCTGCTACAACATGTGCAAGATGCGATAGCACCTCAGGGGTTCGAGCATCAACGAGCTGACGCACAAAGCAAGTGCAGAAGCGCCCACACCCCAGAATCGAGGCAGTGAGCGCCGCATTTGCTCACGCCGCACCAGCTATCCAAAGGCTGGCCAAAATCATGTTGGAAGACTGCTGATTTACAGCAGGGTTTTTTAAAAGATAAAACTTCGGGACAGGCACGAGTACGATGCTGAAAGAACAGAGGCTCTGGAGTACGCACTGCCAGATCACAACTGACTTTCTCTGCCTTCAAGGGCAGACGCGCGTGGCTGCTGCGGAACTATTTCCGTATGCGTGCGTTTAAAGAAAGACATTCTTAAACGGCTTTCCAACTTTAATCGGTATGAAAGGTATGTATCAAGAGAGGGCAAATTTAAATGTGTGTTTAGAATGTCAATTGGGATACTGTTATTGTTTTCTGAGCCCTCTGTTTGGGAGGAGGAGGGAAGGCCCAACGCTGAACAGAGGGTCAAGATGATCTCAAGTTTATTAACGTTAGTGTGGACTGCAGAGGTCCCTCGCATGTAACTGTGAAAAAGAAAAGGCGCCATAAAAAAGCATTAAAATTGTCCAACGAGGTGTGTGCCTTCCTAGTGCAGCCACTGGCACCCTGAAAATAAGTCCTGGGTTTAGCAGGCATGGGGTGGAGGCAAGGGAAACGGCACCACCGCAAGCTGGGAAGAGGAATGGTTTGCAAAGGTCTGGCAGAAAGGGAGTCTGTCTCTTAGAATGAGAGTGCAGAAACATGGAGAGTGAGGAGGAGACCTCCACCTGCTGCCTGGGCCCTGGGCTGGACCAGAGGCGGGTGAACAAGCCGTGCTTGAGATCGCTCCGACCCTTCCAATCTCATCTCATTGCCGCCTCCTGCGCCCAATTCCCTTTCACAATGGTTACTCGCTCTGCACGAACAGAACTGCGCCACTCAAGCTGCAATCAAATGGGGGATTTGCACAGCTTGCCCCAAACCTGCACAAATCTCCCCCAGGTGTGTATAAATGTCCTTGTTTGTGGAAACCCCACCACAGACTAAAGGGCGGCTCATTTGGTTCTCTGGGAGACGCTGGGCAGATTAATACATCTGCGCAAACGGAACTGGGAATCCAAAACGAAACGAACACGAGCAGGACAATCTGCAATGCTCCTCAGCTCGCATCTGGAGCGTCGTGACGAGGCGTGCGCACACGCCCTGCCAGCAAAAGCATCCCTAGGTCGAACGGCTTTTACCAACAAGAGCCTTCTCTTCACAGCCCCCTGGGGCTTGGCCTCCTGTCACTTAAGCCCATTAGGTCTCGTTTGGACCGTCCTACGGAACAGAAGAACAAGCCTGCACCAGCAGCTTCCTCTTCGGGGCCTGAAGGGAGCTAAAAGGGCAATTCCCCCTCCTGCTGTCTTCTCCATCCCACCCCCTTTGTTAGAGAGGGTCCTGCCGCAAGGACCAGAAGGGTGGCTTTTGCAAACGGAGCAGGAGAGGCTGAATGGCAACCGGAGAATTGCAGTGACATGGCTGGGCAACTGCCTGGAGACCCCGACTCACATCCAGCCATCTTCCAGAGGTGCATGACCTTTTCTTTGACAGATTTATGCAATCTGCGCATTGTTTCCTGCTCTGGCCCTGAGCACGGGCAGGATCAAAACAGAATCAGAGCAATCCACTTGACCAAAATGGTCACTGAACTTTAATTGGCACGTCGTACAACAGTGCCGGTATTTCCTCTGCAGCTCCGTTTAGAATCTCAGAGCAGTTGGATTTGGAAAGGGCAGCTACTGAGGAAGAGGCTGTAATTTAGAGGTACACATGATGCTCTGAGTTTTGGGGCAACTCACTCAAGGAATTAATGCAAGGTGGAGTTGTGTACAAGGTTTGGCAGAAGGTAGCAGCCGCTCAGTTAACAGAAATCTCATTTTGCATGAAAATTCAGACTCAACCTGGCAAATCCAGGTAACACCCCAGTGGAAACCTGGAGAACCGCTGTGGCCAGTCCATGTAGCTCAGGGGTGTTGAACAATCTGCAAGCCCAAGAGCCAGATTAAGTTTCAGGGATGCTCTTGGAGGCCACTTTCCAGAAAAAACTGCTGCCGAAGGCAAAGTGGACCAAGGTCAAAGACAAAGAAAAGTGGGGTTTTCTCTGTGCATGTTCTCCCCACTGCCTAAAACAAAAAATACAGAATCCTACAAGGAAAACAACATAGTGCTCAAACATGACTGCAAGTTTGGGAGGGTACAAGCTTTTTCTGAAAAAAACTGCTCCCATTTGCATTCACTTTTTTGAAGTTCTGATGATTTATGAATTGAAACAAAATTCACGTACTATAATTAGAATTGGGACATCATGGGATGCTGCCATAATTTGAACTGAATCTGCAGATGCTGAGTAACACATTCAGGAACTGGAACATGCATCGCATCAACCTTGAAGAGCTGAGCATACTTTGGTTAGCCCAAAGTTGGCCCTTGCCCATTCAGTGCTGTTTTCCTCCTCCTGGGTCCACACGCAAACCTGTTTGCTAGCTATAGCTATGAACAAAATGGAGAATAAAGAATTCCGGGCGAGAAGCATTCCAAATAAAGAAGCTTACAAGAAGAGAAAGGCTTGCAAGGCTAATTGCAAGGCTGACTCTTTAAAATTTAGAGTTTAGAGGCATTGCCTCGATTGAGCGTGCTACCGCCTGAGGTGAAAGGACCTAGAACAAGGCAGGTCTGTTGGACAGTCTTATGAAGTATCAGGCTACAAAGGCCATCTTTTAACTCAGATGCCATCAAGGTGACGAGGTCAAATGCAGCTGCAAGAAATTAGAGGAATGCTATCAATTTCTTTCCCTTTAGATTTTTAAGATATTCACATTTGCAACTAGCAACATTCCGTTATTAAATTCCTCCGAGGATGCATCTCAGTCACTTTGCCAGCCAATTTCAACTTTCTTGCTATGAACAAGGAGGAAAGTAATAAAGTTTGAGCTTTGTAATAAAAGCCTTTAAAAGACAACCCAGCATTCCCCGAGTGCTTGACAAAAGCATTTCATTTCAGGGTCATCCTTCAGGCGAAGCCTCTTTTCTTCCTCCGTTATCATGCACCCACCTGACACCGTTTTATTATGAAGGCCGGAACACTTCACAGTCACCCGATTCTTCCAAAATGGGTCACTCCTGATCCTATTTTGCCAGTGGGTATGGGAGGAGAAAGCGGCGGAGGTGGTGGGGAAGGAGAAGGCGCAACTGGGGGCAGACGTCCCAATCACCACCCGGCAGGTGCGAGCGTTTTGCTGCTAAAATACGAGGGTGAAGACAGCATCTTGCCCTGAATCCAGCACCGCATCCACTTTGCAAAGGGTTAGGAATCCTCATGCCCTCCAGCAGGTCTGCAAACCACACCATTCCTGATCACTGGAGAGGCCCGCTGTGGCTGATG